ATCTTCCTTCCAAGGAGTGGCTGGGGGGTTGAACCGCCAACCTTCCAGTTAGCAGTCAAATGCCTTAGGCACTACGCCAACAGAGCTCCCCATCAGCTGTTAGAGAAATGCAAATCAAAACAATAAGGTACTATCTTGCCCCAGCATTAGTAGCAAAGTTCAACAAGACAGAAAATAACAAATGCTGGCAAGAAAGCAGAGAGATTGGGACTCTCAGACACTGCTGGTGGGACTGTAAAATGATACAACCACTGTGGAAAGCAGTATAGCAATTCCTTAAAAAGTTGTTATTAGAAATACCATTTGACCCAGCCATCCCATTACTAAGTATATATCCTAAAGAAGTGAGAGCCAGCGCAAGAACAGATATATGCACACCCATGTTCATTGCAGCACTATTTACAATAGCCAAAAGATGGAAACAACCTATGTGCCCATCAACAGAAGAAAGGATAACCAACCTATGGTACATACACACAATGGAGTAATTGTTTTTGTTGTTGTTACGTACCGTTGAGTTGGACCCGAATCATAGCGACCCCTCCTTGGGTTTCCAAGGCAATATCAATACTGAAGTAGATTGCCCAACCTTCCTTCCAAGGAGTGGCTGGTGGGTTTGAACCACCAGCCTTCTGGTTAGCAGTCAAGTGCCTTAGGCACTAGGCTACCAGAGCTCCTAATGGAATACTATGCAACCCTAAAGAATAACGTAGAATCAGCAAAACAATGCATAACGTGGATGAACTTGGAGGATATTATGCTGAGTGAAATAAGTCAATCACAGAAGGATAAATATTGTATTAGTCCGTTATTGTAAAAAGTCCAGGAAAGGTTTACATATGGAAGGAAATTTTCTTTGCTGGTTACCAGTGGTGGGAGGGGAGGGAACACTGTTAGATATATAGAGACAAGTATTGATTTGGGTGCAGAGAATGGCAATATCAAATGTGATTAATCAACATGGTGGCACTGAGGAAGAGGAAGATATACAGAGGTGGGTGGGAGGTAGAGACAACAAAGACGAACTCTTTTGCACATACCGCAATGCATTACAAATAAAGGCAAACATTGATATATGGGTGGATATATGGGTGGACAGATTGAACTATTAGGTATGTCCCTGCAGGGGGGAGTGTGCCCAAGATCATGTATAGGGTTGGCAGACAATGTTTCTACTATGGTATTTGTATGTTCTGTAAGAATTGCCAGGTATATAGTAGAACTGACAAGGGACAAGGTTGTAGTCACTTCTTGGCCACAGCCAGCTACCCAGAGAGAACAAGTATTTGAACCTGTGGGCTCGGGACCACAGTCGCAGGGGACATCAAGCTCAACTGGCATAACATATAACACAAAAACAATGTTCCACATCCTACTTTGGCAAGTAGCAGCTGGGATCTTAAAAGCTTGCAAGTGGCTATCTATATGCAATGATGGGTCTCTCCTCATTCAGAGCAAAGAAGAATGAAGAAAACCAAAGATGCATGGAAACAATTAGTCCAAGTGACTGGTACATCATGAGATCCTCAACCTATATGACTATGAGATCAGAAGAACAAGATGGTCCCTGGCTACCACTGTCAACCACTCAGAGGGGTGGTAGGAGATCCTGGATAGAGTGGGAGAACAAGGTGGAACAAAATTCAAAATTATTAAAAAAAAAAGGGGGGGGGGGGACCAGGTTTGCTGGTCTGATAGAGCCTGATGGAACCACTGAGACTATGGCCCCCAGCTCCCCTTTAGGTCTGGAATTGAACCCATTCCTGTGGCTTCCAGCCAAACAAAAGACAGGCATATGAGCTGAACATTTATTTTAGGTAGATACACTCCTTGGAGAGATCAATCATGGGAGAACAGAAATGCTGTTTATCCACAAGGAGACAGCTCAGGCGGCAAGAATGCATAGGAGGGAAGGACACAGGGATGAGGTAATTATGGGGAGGAATTGGGAGGGGAGCTATTGCATTGTGGTAAATTGTAGTCAATGTCATGAGACAAAGTGTATGTGTGCTGCTATATGGAAAGTGAATTTACTCTGTGAACTTTCACCCAAATCACAAATAAAATCATAAATATAAATATAAATATATATAACTTTACAGCATTGGTTTTATAATAATTGTAGTTTTAAAATTTAGTAACAAAAAATTGAAAAAGTTAAGAATTTAAAAATTAAAGGATGGTTAACAATTTGAATTAATTATAAAAGCTAGTATCTACTAAGGACCTGCTCTGTGCCAGGTCCATCAAAAGCAATCCATAAAAAATTCACAATGCAGCTGTATGGTAGATAACTACCATTTTTTTCACATCTTACAGATAAGGGAAACAAATTAATGGAAATGAAATCTGACTGGACTCTACAATATGTAACAATGAAGAGTTGGTTCAAAAGAATGACAATAATTTAAAACATCAACTATATCATAAGCAAATAACCACTTGTTGTTGTTGTTGTTGTTATGTGCCGTCGAGTTGGCCCCGACTCACAGCGACCCCTCCTTAGGTTTCTGAGGCAGTATCACTACGGAAGTAGGATTGCCCAACCTTCCTTCTGAGGAGTGCCTGGTGGGTTTGAACCGCCAGTCTTCTGGTTAGCAGTCAAGTGCTTTAGCCACTATGCTACCAGAGCTTCTAAATAACCACTACACACACTAAAAAAAAAAAATAGGTGGAAGTATCATAAATAAAATGAACATCTCTTACTTGATTAATTTCACTTTGGAGTTGTAACCCTTGCTGCTCCTTTTCTTCTTTCTGCTGCTGTAGCTGTTTAAATTCTGTCTTAAGATGCTGGTACTTGGCCTCTACTTCTGATAATTCTTCTTTGAGTTTTTGAGTAGCTTCTCCTTTTTCACTTAGTTCTGCCTGTATCCTCTGTAATGAAGTTTCAGATGCTGATAATCTTGATTGAAGCTGTTGACAATCTAGGTCTTTTTGATGAAGGGTTGCCTGTATATTCTTTTTACTCACAGTTTCTTCATTATGTTTCTCCTCTAACTGTGTATACTCAAGTTCCTTCTTCAGTAATTTTTCAGTCAAATTCTGAAATATCAATTTAACAATTTATTTCCTGCTCTAATATTTTTAATTATTCTATTCTGATTCCTTATTTTTGCTCTTTTTAATAAAGAGCATTAGTTAGTGTCACAATTTCACACTACTTCAAATTGCTAAGTATAAAAACATAATAAAGATATCACTCACCAGTCTTTTATTTTGTACTTTATTCAATATTATCATTTTCAAAATATAAAAACACCTTCAATCAAAGACCTGGATCAAACGTATCAAATCTATCAAATGTTAAAGTTTGATCTTAGTGTTGTTGTTGTTGTTATGTGCCGTCGAGTCGGCCCTGACTCATAGCGACCCCTCCTTGGGTTTCCGAGGCAGTATCACTACGGAAGTAGGATTGCCCAACCTTCCTTCCGAGGAGTGGCTGGTGGGTTTGAACCGCCAGCCTTCTCGTTAGCAGTCAAGTGCTTTAGCCACTATGCTACCAGAGCTCCCAATTGATCTTAGTAGACTAGTGAAAATTAACACTGCACATTTCAAGACAACAGACATAAACATAAGACAGTGATCAGAATTTTGACTCAATTTTCTAAAGAAAGAGGCAAGATAAGAAGACAATGTATGTACCTGTTGAGTTAATTGGTTGACATTTATTATACTCACTTGTTACATCATTGTACTCAAAGGGGATAACAGAAAAATAACAGAGGACAATTAAAGGTGTCCTTTAAACAGACTATAATTGAAATGAAACAAATGCATATCAAAAAAAATTTCTAAGAAATTTAACCATAATGCACAAGCAAGAATATATTAATAGAAAATAGAGTATCACATTTCGTAAGTACACAATTCTAAAAAATAAAATGTACAAAGTCAGGTATGGCTAATAAGTAGAGCACTTGAAAATATTAAAATAATATTAAAATTTGAACTTGGTTTTAAAAATGATTAACTAAGGAATAGGTATATATGACTATTTCCTTTATACTAAAAGAAGATATATAAAAACACACAAAGGAAAGGACTAACAAGTTGCATGTGTGGAAATAGCCAAAGCTATTACCTTACCTGGAGTAATATGTCTAGCTACCAAAATGGGAAATACAGTAGTAAAAGTCTGGAACTCTTGACGGAGAAAAAAATGAGTTAAAAGATCAAGCAAAAATATACTACAGGAAAAGCAGAGTCCAGAGAGATGATGTAATAAGTATGTATAAAACAGTCAAGACCAGGGACAAACTTAGTAGTACGGACAGCAACCAGAAGTTTGCAGTAAAATCAAGAGATGTGTGCCTTGACTAAGTAAGAAAAACAGAAAAGGAATACAGCCACTAGAGGAAAAAAATACTTTTGAGTGAAACTATGCTTGGAAAATTATTAAAACATGTATTTCTTCATTTTACTAGGTAGCAATTCTAAAACTTTATTGATTTCTCCAAATCTTTTAGGAAAGGAGTCCCTGAGTGGCACAAACAGTTAAGCACTCAACTACTAGCCAAAAGGTTGGCAGTTTGAACCTACTGTTACCTAGCAATATGCTTCTGACCCTATGGAACAGTTCTACTCTGCACACAGGGGATTGCCGTGAGTCAGAATCAACTTGATGGCAGCTAACAACAGCAACATTTTAGGAAAATTGACATTTATTATAGAATTAATTAATTTAATAAATCTATTACATAAACGTGTGGGTTATTCTTTCTTTTTTTTTTTTTTAAGATGATTAGAAGTTGTTGAATTTCATGAATGTAGCTAAGCTCAAAAATACTGAAGACTTGAGCAGGACATACTTTAAACATATTCTATAAAAATTAAGACTAGTAAATGAAGTAATGTCTTTTTCCCTAGAGGCTTACTTACAAAGTCACCAAGTAAGGTCACCCGGTTCCATATATAAATAATTTCTCAGAGAGGTTCACTTTTAAGAAGCAACAATCCTTCATTACCCTCCTCTTTCCACCAATTTTACATTCTGTTTTTACTGACAGCAACAGGATGATGCTTGGCTTTTGTTGGTGCTTAGCAACAATCAATGACTATTTAAAATTCAGTTGTTTTAAAAAACTAATCAAAATTTAACTGCTTTATTGCATGAATGAGAGAAAATTTAATTTTCTTTGAAAGAGCACAAACTACTTTCTTTCTTTAAAAGAACCTACTCCACTCATACTAAGTAAATTTTATATGCAAAAAGATCTAACTATATTCAGTATTATAAACTTTTAATTCTTATTTTGGTCTTCCCATGGAACCAGAAGCAAGACAGTGAATAAATGTTTTCTGAAGACTGACTTTGTGAAAGTACAGTAGAATTCATTCAAGAAAATAACAGCACTTTTCATTTGTCCAAATTAAGCCTTACAACAAAATATGAGATGGATATTATCATTTCCACTTAAAGATGAAGAAGCCGAAACTAAAGACATAATATGATTTAGCCAACTGGCAAAAGTCATGTATTATGATTCTAAGCCCAATAAATTTTTTACAACATAATTAAGGTACTCTGTGAATCAATTCAGGCATACCCTATAAATTTAAGTTATAAAATGAATGTTAAACTTTTAACATAACTATCATTTGGGTCAGCAAAATTCTTTCCTTCAAAATGTCTAGTCATCTTTTGATTTTTTTACCAATTGTTCTCCTGACATATTTTCTTAATGTTACAATTTCACTCTGTTAATCTCTCTTATTCACTTTTTACTTGCCATGATAATAAGAATAATTCAAGAATGACATATTGATACTTTATAGCTTGCAGAATGGTTTCAGAAATCTCATCTCATTTGTTCCTCAAAGCTCAGTGAGAAAGACCAAGATGAAGTACGTATAAGTTCTTCAACATTCCATATTTTATGTTCTTTAATATTTCCATGATTTTTTTTTGTACATATTAGTTTCAAAATGGAACACAAGAAACTCTTCTCCCACATGAAACACCCTTTAATATCCTTGAAACTCAGACAAAAAGTTACGTCTTCTACAAGGCCTTTCCTGATTTACTAGGTGTGTATTTTCATTCATTGTACAGGGGGTCACCATGAGTCAGAGGTCAACTCCACTGTAGATAACAACAAAAAAAACAGAGTTAGGAAAACTACCTTGATCTTGACCCAACTCTGTGTCACAACAGTCACCAAATAACAGCAACAAAAATAAAAACTAACATTTTGCTGATGTGCTTACTAAAAGCCAAACTTAGACATTTTGTGGTAGTTAAGTTTGTGTGTCAACTTGGCTGGGCCTGCTTGAGTGACTGGACAGCTGGATGTAGCTATTCCCCAAGGTGAGATTGGTAATTAACTCCATGGTAGAATCTACTGGAGCAGCTGAGTAGCTGCTTTAGAGATGTGGGCTGCTTCCGGTATATAAGAAGCAACTTTGAGGAAGGTCTCCAGCTTATGGCATGCTCGGACCCTGCATGTAGCCAAGTCATAGTGCAGCAGCGTACCATGCCCTGCCAATCTTGGGACTTGAATTAGTGGCCTGCTGTGCTGTTTGGTAACATTGGCACTGTGCCTTTGCACTTGTTGACCTTGGGTTTGTCAGCCTCAGCAGCCAGCAGCTGTCTGAGTGAAGAAAAGCCTCCAGCTTCAGTGGACTGGGAGCAGGAGGCAGAGCTGAAGCCCAAGGTTGAGAGGCTTAAAGCCTCCAAAATGTAAGATAATAAACTCCTGTTTGTGAAAGTCATCCCATTCACGGTATTTTTCTGTCAGCAGTACAAAGGTAACCAAAACACATGTATTAATGTATTTAATAGCTACATCAATACTAAGATGCAAATGGATGGAACAACACTTCTTGGCAGAAGAAACAGCTGTGAATTTGAGAGGTTGAGTATCTCAGCTAGGAAGCGACAAAACTATGATTTAAACATGACTTTACCACTGTATTACATTGCTCACATCAATTTTCTACAAAACAGGTAAATGCCACAACAATGTAACTGCTTATATCCTGCTATGTCCCTTTGCTCGTAAGCCCCTGCTCTTTGGAATACAACTCTCACATATCTCTGAGCACACCTCCGGTGAGTTTTTTGGTCTTTCTAACCCTTACCATTACAAGTCTTTTGCAGGTCTCAATTACAACCTGGACAAAGGGAGGGTAATGAGGGAAGGAAATGGCTACCCCAAAGAATAACTTAGTCTCTTACAATGACCTATACTAATAGCTTTAGATTCACAGTAAGATTTCACTCAGAATTTATATGAAACCATTTAATTAAACACAATATGATTTTTATTGGAAACAAAGAAAAAGTTTCTTCAATATTCCCATTTTCTTGTTATGTTTTCAAGGCCAATAATTATAAAACTGTGGTTTAGTGCTAAAAACCATGACATTTTACTTTACATGTTATTTTAAAATGTTACTTATTAATATAATACTGCCTGTACCCAACAAGAACTCCCCTCAGGGAATTTTATATACTAGCCTTCAAAAGAACATGTACAGATATTTCCAAATGCAGAACACCTGGATATCACTATCATCAAGTATGGTTTGCCAAGGACATGGAATGGGGAAGAAGGAGAATAAAGCAAGGATAGTACGAAAAGGCAGACACTACTCTGCATTTGCTCTGACTAGTACTCAAATCTTAAATAGGAAAGCACTTTGGGAGAAAAAATTATAGTGTTATACATATGTAAAACATTATTAAGATTAATGTTGTTGTTGTTATGTGCCCTCGAGTCAGACCCAACACATAGCGACCCCTCCTTGGGTTTCCGAGGCAGTATCACTATGGAAGTAATAAAAGACTATTATTCCCTAATCAAAAATGTTCCATTTTTACCAAAACCATCTTGATTCTACGCATTATCCACTGCGTGCAAATTGCGACTGTACAAATCTTTGTCATTTCACAAGAAGTAAAAGATGGGTCTGGATTTTACAGAAATTAAAATCACCCTCATCCATTGATGGTGAGAATGCAAAATGGTACAGCCATTGTGGAAAACAATATGACAGTTCCTCAAAAAACTAAAACAGAACTACCTTATGACCCAGCAATT